TAGGGTTATTTTTGTTCTTGGTCGCACAGGTAAGCCATGGAGGCTATATTTGATCGCGGGTTTTGAGAAATTTTCTGTGCATATTTCTCATCTCGGTATCATCGACCGTTTTATTCCACTTTACAATTCAATAATTTGATCTTTGATAAAAGATGATGGGTGACTTTTTTTTCTTGTAATAAGACTGCATAATTTGAATATCCTGTCGACGCGTGCTTCTAAATCTCTTTCGTCAACAAAGAAAATACAAAACTTGCGAACGCGTTTGAGACAGATGCGAATCTAAAAGAATTGTAGGTAAAAGAACATCGTACAGTCGAACTTACTCCGGCAGTGCGAGTTGATTATTCGTATGACATATTATAGGCTACAAAATGAGTGAGGTTTCCGGAGATTGAGGTTTCTACACCTGCTTGCCTTATCAAAAGGTGCTATATTTACACGAAGCTGATAAAGCAAGGTTTTTGGCGTGTCAAAAAGTGACGAATATATATATAACAGCGCTGAAATATATGGACTGTTGCAGACGTGTTTTTTTATGTGAATACCGGTACGCGATGTATACTTCGTTCACAGATGTTAGTGAATAAAGCATGCAGAGTACATGCATGCTCTCTAAGTGTGCATCGAATAACCACAAAGTATATATTGGCTGTGAATTTCGATATTTACGATCGCGTTTTTCCCGCAATCTTTCTGCTGAGCGGTGACAGTGCCAAGAGTTCTCTGCAGCCTCTCCTGTGGCTGTATGAGAGCGATGGCACCGGTCGACGCGACGCGGGCCAAGTCTTGCTGGCAGTCTTCGGGCTGTGATTTAATTCAACCCGTCATATGCCAGTAGCGATTATAACTTTCATATTCTAAAATGATCTTCACTTAATGAGATCAAATCAAAGGGAGAGCTGGCGTAGCCGGCGAGAAGATAAAAATACGTTACAGATTTGGATTTGGGATTGCGGAGTCCCCGCTTCTTGACTTCGGCGCGTGCGGATAGCGTGGCTTGGCTTTGGCTTCGGATGACATCACGACTTTAACAAATGCACTTGTAAACTATTCACAATAGCTGTGGGTAAAGTTTTTGTTTTTATCCCACCTCATAAAAGTTCCTTTTGTTAGTAAGTATTGCAGTGCAGATTTATAGAAGTTATTTATGAAGTAATACCATATGGTAATAACATCCGGACATGACAAACGTTGCTGGTTGTTTACAATTAAGAGGAGAAATAACGTACTTACACAGATACAATATTCCACTGACCAGCAAAATAAAACAAAGCAATAGTGTAAACACACTTGTCCTACATCCTACCGCTCTTACATTTTATAAAGTAAACGAGTTTTAATTCTCACAAAACGACAGCCGGCATCACCATGGGAGAAGGCGACGTGTGCGAGATCCAATACGCTAGTTTCTCTTTAGACAAGGTTGTATAAGTTCCCTTATCCCTTCGCGTCAAGAGACAGTGTGTTATAGTAATGACAATTCGTATTTACTGCTGATTTGGATAATTGTGAAGATATTTTAGGCCATGTTGCGCCGTGGAGCTGCTGATTCGTGACAAAGGAAATTCACAACCGCTTTTTATTTTTCGTAGAAGAGAAGAGCTATAAAAAAGGGGTAAAGTAAGCATTCATATTTTGTCTTCATTTATTAAAAAAGGATGAAGGAATAGAAAGCATGTAAAATTATGTATTTGATATTGATCATGAACAGAGATAACCAGAGAAAAATATCTTACAGATGTCAAAAAAGGCGAGTATGACGAATAATATCACAGAATAAAGTAATCTACTTCAATGGAATATATTTATCCAGAATATGAATAAAAAACATATCGCATGAATTAGATAAAACAAATAATTGCAATAAGGAGACACCTGTTACAGAATGACAACTAATATCCGGTGATATAAAGCACTATTGTGTAGCCAACACCACGCCTCCTTTACGACTGATAGTGGTGATAGTGAGCAGTTGATAGTGCCGGTTATGAACACTATTATTGTTATCATTGTTATTGTTGTTCTTTCGGTGTTATTATTTTTTTATTATAATCATCGTTATTGTTATTGCTATATTCATGATTATTGTTGTAATAGTAATGATTATTATCATTATTATCATTATTATCATCATCAATATATACGTCTTGGTAGCATCTCAGTTTATGGTGTTTATTTTACATTTCATTTTCTGTAGCAGTGCATAATCGTCCTTACTTGAGGCAATTACATGGTAATTTGGTAATTACATGCACGTGTTGTCTAGAGTATACTACAAGTTCAGTAATTCTCTCAGCTTCACTCTCCACACACATATGCACGCACGCACGCACGCATTCCCCCCCCCACACCCCCTCACTCACTCACTCACTCACTCACTCACTCTCACTCACTCTCACTCACTCACTCACTCACTCACTCACTCTCTCTCTCTCTTCTCTCTCTCTCTCTCTCTCTCTCTCTCTCTCTCTCTCTCTCTCTCTCTCTCTCTCTCACACACACACGCACACACATCATCTATGTTTTTTCCTTGTTTTCAGAGATTGTTGTCCATCGAGACGTAATTCTAATAGCAGAAGCAGTGAACTGTCTAATTTTGATATACCTGTTTTATACAAGTCTCCCCTTAAGGCGCTTTATGACAGAAAATGAAATGGTCATAAACATACCTACCCAAGGATCACAGATAGGCCTATTTTGTGTCTTGGGAACGAGTAGAAAGTAGCTTTAAGCAGGTATTTCAAGGCTTGGTCGTGAGTAGAAAGTAGATAGTCTCACCAACAAGTAAAAAATCTGAAAGTTCTCTAGAAAGATAACGTTCAGAGAGTAAGATCGATAGAGAGAGAGAAGAGAGAGAGAGAGAGAGAGAGAGAGAGAGAGAGAGAGAGAGAGAGAGAGAGAGAGAGAGAGGGAGGGGAGGAGGGGGGGAGGGGGGGAGGAGAGAGAGGAGAGAGAGAGAGAGAGAGAGAGAGAGAGAGAGAGAGAGAGAGAGAGAAGAGAGAGAGAGAGAGAGAGAGAGAGAGAGAGAGAGAGAGACAGACAGACAGACAGACAGACAGACAAACAGAGTTAGAGAATAAGAGAATAAGACTGTAGAGAGATAATGATCCTAGATTGACTCCAAACTGTTAACTAAGGATAATAGATATTTAATTAAGGGGAAGTGGGGGGAGGGGCGAGGAGGGTAGAGGGTGAGGGTGTTAAGGAGCGAGTCAGGGTGAGTTAGAGTTGATTTAGGATCACAGGAAGCTTATGATTTGAAGTTGCAGATGACCTTGACGAATAGGAGGACCCTTGCACACAACCAGTCCGTGCTATGGAGTTTTATTATGCAACAACTGGTCTGGACGGTAATACTGTTGTGTTTCTGTTGTTATTACTCATTGTTATTGTGATTGCTAATATTGTTAGTGGTAGTAGTAATACCATTATTTCCAGTTCCATAATAAAATCATCATATGTTGTTCCTAGTATCATTAATATTATTAATTAGTAGTAGTATCATAAGTTTTATCATTATCAATATCATTATCATTGCTATGGAAGGGATGTATTAGATGGTATTCATTTCTTTGTCCGGTTATCAGCAGGATTATAAAAGAGAAAAAAAGGTTGTAGACATATTGTGATAGAATTGTACGGGTTCCCGATGGGCCACGAACCAGTTTATTAGATTTTACTGGCGGTCTGAATCTCCTTTTGTGTCAGGTATTAAAAATTACTTCAGTTATATGTTCTCTTTGTTACTATTAGTCGCAGTAATTTAATATTCGTAGCTGCAATGTCTACATGAGTATATTTCAAATACCACACTATCTTCACACACACACGTTAACGACGAACAGAAAACGCGGCACAGAAAAAACAACTGCGAATCGACTCAAGATGTTTCAGCTGTTTTCTGCGTCAGAGATGAATGTCGTTTGCGTATAACTCTCCTTGAACTTTATCCACAAGACTCTGCTGTGTGACGTATAACATGCTTGTTTTATTTTTATTCATATCTGTTTCCTTTGGCTTCTCTTGGTCTGAATATGCAGTCATTAAGTTGTTTTTTCATTTATATATTTACATTTCGCGCAGAGACCTCAGTACAGGGTATATATCTACGAAAGAAGGATAGGTAAGGGAGTATGAATATAAACGAACAAACGTAAAGGGAAAGCGATCTTATTTCATTGAAGATAAAGTGAAAGCAACGGGAAGCAGAGTGGAGTAAGGCAGAAGAACGGGAAAGGGAATGGGGAAGGAGGAAATGGTGGAAAGTGAAAATTGGATGTAAGGTTAGAGGGAGAGGAAAGCTCAGTGAGAAAGAGGAGGGGGAGCGCAGTGAGATACGGGGAAGGGAAGGAGGAAGAGAGAGGGAAGGGCAAAAAGGGAAAGAGAAAAAGAGAGAGGGGAGAAGGGGGCAGGAGGGAGAGGTATGAAGAGAGGGGGGGGGGGCTGAGGGTTAAAATGTTATTACACGAATTCGAAAACCACAGCAAATCCCAGCGACCGATCAACACCTTATCTCTCTGACATAATAAGTTCAAGTGTTGCGACTTACTTGACAGATACGATGAGTACACTAGATAAGTGACAGAGTAAAAGGAACAGCCCCAGTTCCTTGCGTGTCTGGAGAGAAATAACATGTCTGTTTGTCATTATCAGTGCAGACATTTAGAAAAAATTACATGGTCGTTGTTTCCTAAGAGAAATTTTCATTTATTGATAAGTAAACTGTCATGACAGTGTTCCAAATTCGTGCAGTGTTCTTTGGCAAAGGAAGTTCAGTATACGTGTCATATGCAATGGTAAATGCAAGCCATTTTTCTCGGTATATCGACAGTGACTTGTGCTTTCCACTGATATTGCCAAAAATTCACGTTCATATATATATACCGATACATTTTTCTTATACAATGTATATTTACCTATCTACATGAATAACTAGAACAATCCTACAACTCAAAAGTAAAAAAAGAACGAAAAAAATGAAATAAAACTGCTGTACAACTCCGACTTAAAAATCGGCCGAGGATGTACCCCGCAGGCAGACTCGGGGTGGCGGCCCTGTCCTCCCGGCGCGGCGTGGTGGAGGCCGTGCTCGAGAGCGGCGTCGAACTGGCT